GTTCAGGCAATTCTCCTGCCTCAGCCTCCTGAGTAGCTGGGATTACAGGCACGCGCCACCATGACCAGCTGATTTTTTGTATTTTTAGTAGAGACGGGGTTTCACCATATTGACCAGGATGGTCTCGATCTCTTGACCTCGTGATCCACCCGCCTCGGCCTCCCAAAGTGCTGGGATTACAGGCGTGAGCCACCGCGCCCGGCCCTTAATCTAAATATTTTTAATGTGTCAGGTTTTTCTTTAGTTATTTATAGTTTGAATCCAGTGCCTTGTTTCCATGAGATTTTTATTTCTCTAGAAGAATGAATGAAAATATTAAAATGTTTTTAAGGAGTTATTTTTTATACCCTTAAAACTAAAACTAATTGAAAGAATATGGTTGGAATTGTCAAGAAGTAAAATGAGTATTATTTAATGCTATTACATTATGATAAAGGAAGAATTGGGAAAGAGGGCTGCATTGATTTTTGTAAAGGACTTATGAAAAAATTGCTGTTTGAGGAAATAAAACATTTAGAGCTGTACTCTACACCATCTATCCACACTAGTTTCTTTTTCTTAATTTTCCTTTTTTTTTTTTTTGAGACAGAGTCTTGCTCTGTTGCGCAGGTTGGAGTATAGTGGTATGATCTCAGCTCACTGCAACCTCTAACTCCCAGGTTCAATCAATTCTCCTGCCTCAGCCTCCCAACTAGCTGGAATTACAGGTGCCCACCACCACACCTGGCTAGTTTTTGTATTTTTAGTAGAAATGAGGTTTCACCGTGTTGGCCAGGCTGGTTTCAAACTCCTGATCTCAAGTGATCCACCCACCTGGGCCTTCCAAAGTGCTGGGATTACAGGCATGAGCCACCATGCCTGGCCCATACTATTTTCAAATAAAAATTTTAACTGTATAAAACAAATTATCAAGAAAACAAGGAGAAAACTTCAATCAATATTTAGCTTGACCTCTGTGTCAAGTTAAATATAAAACCTAAGAAGAAAATCCCAAGGAAAACTATTGATAGTTTACATATTTGCACCATTTTAAGTGGGATCCAGATGTGCCAGAAGAGATTTTTCTCTGTACTGCCATCCCTATCCACAGATTAGATTAAGTTCTGGATTCTTCTATAACCAAGGCTATAGAAACTCAACAGAACTGAAATGGCACAGAGAACAGAAGCAGATGCATTAATGTCTCATCATATCAGAGTGTCTAATGGAAAGGGTACATCTGCAAAGATTCTGTGTGTATAAGAGAGGATAATGCCAGATTGCAGAATCTAATTTAATGATGCACCACAGTTATTTTATATTTGGTGCTTGCATCCCTGTTTGGAAACAACTTATAGAAATAATTCATGCCCTGGGAAATATTTATGGTCATCCATTTAAAATGTAATGTCAGCAAAGCTACATTCTTATTCCCAGGGTTTGGGCATTGTAGGGAGCAGAGTCCCTAAGCAATGCCTGTGTTTCTAGTTTATTGACATCCTTGAAAGCCTTCTCTGTGGTAACTTTAGAGCTGTGTATCAGAAACAGCCACAACACTTAAAGGCAAATCTGAAACTGGATAGAGATCTTTGTCATAAATATGCCAAATTTTTAATATTTTAAGTATATAAGGCCTTAAAGATCAGTTAGAAAACTATCAAACCCTAATAATAAAATGGGAAAAGAATATCAACTGACAGTTCTAGAAGTCCGAAGTCTAGGCAAGTATGAAAAAGGTCCATCCTTCCCAGCAAAAGAAAGTCCAGATAAAATGACAGATTCTTTTTCAACCTGTCCAAATTAGCAAAGATACAGTAGTGTTGATGAGGATGAAGTGAGATAGAGACATTTCCATTTGCCAGCATTGGGAGTGTAAGTTGGTAACACCTGCCAGAAAGCAATTTAGTAATGCATATGAAGAACATTGAGTAATTTTTTTTTTTTTTTTTTTTTTTGATGGAGTTTCGCTTTTGTTACCTAGGCTCAAGTGCAATCTTGGCTCACTGCAACCTCTACCACCTGGGTTCAGGTGATTCTCCTGCCTCAGCTTCCTGAGTAGCCGAGATTACAGGTGCCCACCACCACGCCCAGCTAATTTTTGTATTTTTAGTTGAGATGGGGTTTCACCATGTTGGTCTGGCTGGTCCTGAACTCCTGACCTCAGGTGATCCACCCACCTAGGCCTCCCAAAGTGCTGGGATTACAGGTGTGAGCCACTGTGCCCAGACAAGTAATGTTTTAACAATTTTTGAACAAAGCTAATTACTCTTGACTAAGTAAGAACCTACCACAAGAAAATGGAGATACACACAAAAATGTGTGCGTAGATCATGCCAGAGGTAAGTCCTAGCTTAAGTGTCCAGTGTGCAGTGCACCAAATTTATATTTTAATTAGGAAAATGCAGTGTATCATTCCATTAAAGGGAAAAAGGCAGGAGACTGTATGTGCAAATATAAGTCTAGATATTTTCCAAAAATTACCCCCAGAAAAAGATTCATCTTAAAGTCCTTCACACTGTCTCTCATGTGATAGGGGTAATTTCTCAACAGCAAAGTAGTACTGATTGAGGAGAACACATTTGCCTGAAATGATCTCAGACAGTGCTGGTTACTGGGTGCTTATAGAGGTCACCTGATGAAAAAGGTAAAGAAATTGAATGTAGATTAAATATTCCTGGGATATGACCTCATAATTTCATGTCAACTATTAAGCCTTCTGAAGGTCACTTGAAAAAACAAATCAGTAAGTGCATATACTTTGGCAAAAAATAAGAGTTTTTTGTCTTTAAAGAAAGGTAAGCAATAAAAAAGGCAACAGATCTATAGTAAAATTGTGATTAGTATGCAAATGAACTATCAGTCATTGATGTCATGAAAGGTTGCATCTTTTAGTTTTTGTCTACCCATTCAATTCAGATTTAGGTATCTTCTCATTCCAACAGAGTCTATTTCTATTTATAGGTCTCCTACTCAATACTTTTGATGGTTTATTAGTTTTTATTACTATTACATAATGCAAAGCATACACTTTTTAAGGTTTGCCTTTGCAAATTAAAAATAGAAAAAGGGAGCTTATTTAAGAACGTAAAAGTACATTTTATTTGTGATATATAGCATTTACTTTTACTGATAAAATGTTTCGAGTGTTCAAACGTTTTTTATTTGTTTTAATGAATGAATATAATTGAATTTTAGAGCTGAAAAGGACCTAATCTCATCCTTTTATACCTAGAATCAAGTTGACCACCAGTCACTGAGTTAGGCCTAGAACACCATTCTCCTTACTGTTTATTTGAATATATTTTCATGATAGCATATGTGTCAGTAGCTTAGCTTTTATCATACTGAATTTATTTTTCTATAAGCGTTGAAAAGCCACAATGAAAGTAACTATTCCCCTTATTGTGTGTGGTAAAAATCCCCACATAAATGAATAATCTTTGCAGTAACAATTTATGAAACCTAATTTTTAATTTAGTCATATCAATTTTAGACTATTAATTAGTCACATTTTTAATCCATGAAAAAACTACTACAATTTCTCTTTTGGTTTTACTTAACAAACACAGTGCTTTGGATCTAATTGTTTGTTGCATTTCAAAAATGTTTTGCTCTTTTTAAGGCTGGCTTGAGTCTTCGTAAAGTGAACAGACATGTAGATTTTCCACTTACGCTCGATTTAGCACCATTCTGTTCTGCTACTTGTAAGGTACAGTATATTAAGATATTTAATTGATTTATAAATTATATGCTTGAAAGTATCCTACATATGATTAGGCAATGCCTTTTTTTTTAAAGCTTCTTTTCTGAAAGGGAATTTTAATAGCTAGTGATTAAGTCAGTAATAGGTGGAACATTTAATACATTGAATATGATTTTTGTCCTTCAGGAGACAAAGGAAAATTGAAAAGGTAAGGCATGAGGCATGATGGTTGTGAAGGTCTAAGCTGTTTGTAAATGCTACTGGAAGCTGATGGTTGCTGAGAGAATTGAGTAGGTTTTGTGTCCTCTCGTTCCTTGTGAACTATTTAATCGGTAGTAGTTTTATCATGTGTGGAGTTCTGTATCTTTCACAAATCAATGTAGTAGTGAATTGCCTTTCGTGCCACTTCATATGTACTGCTGAGGTAGTGTACTTGTCAGCGGAGTATGATACTTCAAAACTGCTGCTACTTTAATAATTAGGTATAGAAAGCAGCCTGGCTTATCATTGCTTATTTTTACATGTAAGAATTGTGTAGATGAAGTAGATGCTGTCTTCCATGAGGGAAGCAGTTATGGGGTAACATGTTGTCCTGTTTATGATTACTAGCTAGAAGTCTAGGTTTTGTGGTATGTAATAGAATACTTATTGAACTTAATACTTTCAGTATATTGATAAAACAAAAATAAATGCAATTTTTGGGTAAATTCAGTGTATCTGATATGGAATACCAGCACTATCTATCAATTATTAATACTCAGTATTCCTAGAATTTGATAATGTGCTAAATAATAATGAAATTTAACAAGCTCTCTGTGAAACTTGTCAAAACATACTTTTAAAAAGTACCTATTATAGAGAATTTCCATTATACACAAAAGCAAATAGAACAGTACCATGAACTTCAGCACCCAGCCCTAAAACCTTACATCCATGGCCAGTCCTGCCCCATCCACACACTAAATCACTCTCTTCTCCTTTATTATTTTCAAGCAAACATAAGGCATCATTTCATCCATAAATATTTCACTGTGTATCTCTAAAAGATAAGAATTGCTTCCTCTATACTTTTTAATATAACCGTCATATCATTTAATAATTCTGTCATCTAGTGTTCATATTTTCAATTGTCTCATAAATGTGATTTTTAAAATGAATTAGTATCCAGATAAGGACTGGATCTATTGTTCATTCGTGCAGTTTTAATTTTCATTTTTGGAATTTCTTCTAAAATTTAATTTTGTTTAATAATTATATAAAATATTTGTATAGGTTCAAAGTCAAATGTACCTAAATAAGGTAAATTCAAAGATGTCTGGCTTTTCTCCATGTCATTCTACCTGTTTGCATCTTCCCCTTATAGGTAACCGTTTTAAAACTTACGGCTTATTCTTTTATAATTTCTTTTCAAAATATAAGCAGATAGGCCGGGCACGGTAGCTCACGCCTGTAATCCCAGCACTTTGGGAGGCCAAGGCGGGCGGATCACCTGAGGTCAGGAGTTCGAGACCAGCCTGACTAACATCGTGAAACCCTGTCTGTACTAGAAATACAAAAATTAGCGGGGCGTAGTGGCGAGCACCTGTAATCCCAGCTACTTGGGAGGCTGAAGCAGGAGAATTGCTTGAACCTGGGAGGCGGAGGTTGCGGTGAGCTGAAATCATGTCACTGCACTCCAGCCTGGGCGACACAGGGAGACCCTGTTTCAAAAAAAAAAAAAAAAAATACATATATATGCAGATAGGCATGTATATTTTCATCTACCCTGTTAAATAATGGTAGCTGACACTGTGTATCCTTTTTTCTACCTTATTCTTAACTTTATACCCTAGAGCTTATTCCATAGCAGCATTTAGAGATAGGCTGCACTCCATTTTTCAAGCAGCATAATATTCTATTTTGTGGATACATCATAGTTTATTCAACCAGTCACCAATTTATAGACATTTTAATTCCAGTCTTTTGATATTAGAGATAATCCTGTAATTAATAGTGTGATACATGTCTTTTAACATTTTGCTCATGTATTTCTGGGATCCAATACTAGAAAAAGGATTAATGAATCCAAGAGTAATATATACACAACTTAGCCTGATAACATGAAATACCCCTGCATAGGCTGGGAGAATTGGCTCACGCTTTTAATCCCAACATTTTGGGAGGCCAAGGCAGGTGGATCACCTGAGGTCAAGAGTTCAAGACCAGCCTGACCAACATGGTGAAACCCTGTCTCTACTAAAAATACAAAAATAAGCTGGGCACGGTGGCTCATGCCTGTAATCCCAGCTACTTGGGATGCTGAGGCAGGAGAATCACTTGAACCCGGGAGGCAGAGGTTGCAGTGAGCCAAGATTGTGCCATTGTACTCTAGCCTGGGCGACAGAGCGAGACTCTATCTCAAAAAAAATAAGAAAAATAAATAAATATCCCTGCATAGGGATTATACCCTTTGCATTCCCATATGCAATATGTGTGAGTGTTCTTTTCCCCACATACCAGCCAACAGAGAACCTTGTTTTTCAGTTTTGCCAGCCTAATAGGTATAGAAAGTATCTCAGTTTTACTACGCATTTTTCTTATGGTAAGCAGATGCACGTTTAGTTACTTTTCCTTACAACAGTATTTAACAAATATTACAAATTTGGGTTTCTTCTTTGTTTAAAAGAACGCAAGCATGGGAGATAAAGTTCTCTATGGTCTCTATGGCATAGTGGAACATAGTGGCTCGATGAGAGGAGGCCACTACACCGCTTATGTGAGAGTGAGAACACCATCCAGGAAATTATTGGAACATATCACTAAAAAGAAGAATGTGCCTGGTATGCCATCCTAAGTTTATTTTATTCTTAAAAAATAAATGAATTTGTGCTTCCTTTTCTGAGAGAGCTAAGTTATTTCATAGCTGCCTCTAGTGGATTTTCTTTTTTTCTTTTTTTTTTTTTTGAGACAGAGTCTCACTTTGTCACCTAGGCTGGAGTACACAATCTTGGCTCATTGCAGCCTCCACCTCCCAGGTTCAAGTGATTTTCATGACTCAGCCTCCCAAGTAGGTGAGATTACAGGCGCATGCCACCACGCCTAATTTTTTGTATTTTTAGTAGAGACGGGGTTTCGTTATATTGGCCAGGCTGGTCTCAAATTCCTGACCTCAAGTGATCTGCCTGACTCGGCCTCTCAAAGTGCTGGGATTACAGGTGTGAGCCACTGTGCCCAGCCTCAGTTGGATTCACCTTAAGTGAGAATTCCCTCTAAGAGTGCTTAGAAAATCTTAAATATTATGAACACTGTACCCTTCTAGGTCATATGAGATGACATGGTATTTTAAGGGACTGAGTCACTGTGTACTGCAGTGGAGTGGCATTTCATTTAACAACACAGAAAGTTTTTGAAGACATACCAGATTGTCAGAAGAGTTGGAGTTGAAAATTTGCTGGCTTTTTTTTGGGTCATCTAACTAACTTTGCTTTTTTCTGGTTTTGTTTTTAAAATGAGGTCTCACTCTATCACCCAGGCTGGATTGCAGTGGCACAATCTTAGCTCACTGCAACCTCTGCCTCCCGGGTTCAAGCAATTCTCCTGCCTCGGCCTCCAGAGGTCCTGGGACTACAGGTGCGTGTCACCATGCCCAGCTAATGTATTTTTATTAGAGATGGGGTTTCACCATGTTGGCCAGGTTGGTCTCAAACTCTTGACCTCAAGTGATCTACCTGCCTCAGCCTCCCAAAGTGCTGGGATTACAGACATAAGCCACAGACAGTGCCCAGCCTGCTTTAAAAAAAAAAAAAAATCTCTGTTGAAAATGATTCTTGGCCAGGTGCAGTGGCTTATCATGTCTGTAATCCCAGCACTTTGGGAGGCCGAGGCAGGCAGACCACTTGAGGTCAGGAGTTCAAGACTAGCCTGGCCAACATGGTGAAACCCCATCTCTACTAAAAATACAGAGATTAGCCGGGTGTGGTGGTATGCCCCTGTAGTCCCAGTTACTTGGGAGGCTGAAGCAAGAGAATTGCTTGAACTCAGGAGGCAGATGTTGCAGTGAACTGAGATTGCACCACTGTACTCCAGCCTAGGCAACAGAGTGAGACTAGACTCCATCTCAAAAAAAAAAGAAAAGAAAAAAGAAAACTATTGTTTTCCCTGAGCAATTAAATATTTATAAAGCCAATATTTTACTAGATGGTTAAAGTGTTACTAACTAGACAGCATTTTTGGTTTTTTGGTTTTTTTTTTTTTTTTTTTTTTTTTTTTTTTTTTTTTTTTTTTTTTTTTTTTTTTTTTTTTTTTTTTTTTTTTTCAGGTTTTTTTCTTTTTTTTTTTTTTTTGGTGCATTTTTGGTTTTTTGGTTTTTTTTTTTTTTTTTTTTTTTTTTTTTTGAGATGGAGTCTTGCCCTGTTGCCCAGACTGGAGTGCAGTGTTGCCATCTTGGCTCACTGCAACCTCCGCCTCCTGAGTTCAAGTGCTTCTCCTGCCTCAGCCTCCTGAGTAGCTGGGATTACAGGCATGTACCACCATACCCAGCTAATTTTTGTACTTTTTGTAGAGACGGGGTTTCACCAGATTGGCCAGGCTGGTATCAAACTCCTGACCTCAAGTGATCCACCCGCCTCGGCCTCCCAAAGTGCTGGGATTAGTGTGCCACTCAGCATTATTAATTATCCCTGTAATATTAATGCTTTGAAAGAATTCATTCTAATGAGAACACACAGACACAGGGAGGGGAACATCACACATCGGGGCCTGTTGTGGGGCGGACTGCTAAGGAAGGGATAGCATTAGGAAAAATACCTAATGTAGATGACAGGTTCCTGGGTGCAGCAAACCACCATGGCACATGTATATCTATGTAATAAACCTGCACGTTCTGCACAGAACTTAAAGTATAATTAAAAAAAAGAAAGATATCGTTCGTTTTGGAAAATGCTTAAGAAGAAACAGACTCCTTCAGTAAAATTTAGCATTAGAGTTTGTAATGAATGTTATTGTTTGTAATTTAGAGTAAGAACCTAAAGCATACTTACTGTAAAATTGTACTTCTTTCTGTTTTGCTAGGTTTGAAAGAGGCTGATAGTGAATCAGCAGGCCAGTGGGTCCATGTTAGTGACACTTATGTACAGGTGGTTCCAGAATCAAGAGCACTTAGTGCACAAGCCTACCTTCTTTTCTATGAAAGAGTGTTATAACTATTAATGGGAATGATTATTTAGGTCACTTATTTTTGAATGCTGCAGTGATAACTATAATATATAATGTGCCTTTGTAGTCTTCCCTCTTCTGTAGGAATAGCATGTTCCTCAAATGGTCCTGAACTTTTTCACCATTTTGGTGAACACTTTTAAAGTAAGTTTACTCAATGCATTAAAATTCATAGTCTTAAAATAAATGTGAATTTTGTTTCCAGGTATTTATTCTGGGGGACAAAAACCTCCCAGAATTTATAGTAGAAGAAACCCCTCTATGATGTGGCTCATTATTACAAGCATTCAGAAATGATGCTGCCTAAGTCAAATCATTCCTTACGACAGTGTTTCCTACGTGTAATACCACCTTCCTGAACTCTCACATATTCTATATCATGGTTATTTTTTTAAAAATATTTTTATCCTTTTTTAATCTTTGTCTTGTTTTGAGCAATCATATTCCATGTTTTATGTGCTTTTATATTTTTTATAATAAACATTAAGATAAATATATAACTATTAAAGAAAAGTTGTTTATCCATGTACCACTTCACTGAAAATCATCTCAGGGCCATCCAGTGGTATATGTGTACTACCATTTAAGAAACTGCTATAACACGTAATTTCATGAGGTAACACCTAATATGGTACAGTTCCCTTGTTATATTTTAAATGATTCAGCCATATAAAGGGTATTACTGTAATTTCAGTAGTGTGGGTTTACAAATAATCTGCTGATTAGCTTATTACTCTGAGGTTTTCAAAAACTAGAAATATGTTGAGGCATTTCATAAACATATCATTTGCAGCCTCTTCATGGTGGAGTTAAGAATAACTTGCAAGTGGTTGGCCAAGGTCAGACTATAACTATAGATTATTATAACATGCAGAATTGGCAATTAGCAGTTGATAATACATATAGGACCATAGGATAGCTTTGAAATATAAATTACCAAATTATATTTGTAAATGATAGAGAATTATATTCTTAACAGAAAAATATAATACTTTTTTTTTTCTTTTTTACTTCTTGTAAATGCTAAACATAGTTTTGGGGTTTTGAAGTCACTTTATTTTTGTCTTCAGCAAGCATCATTAATAAGTTCAGGTAAATTCAGCTTTTATTTTAATGGGGCATTAAGCTGATTTTCTTTTTAAATAATTAAATAATAACAAGAAATATGATCATTTTTCCCCTCTAGAATATACATTATTGAGCTGTCAAAACTTGGCATGAAAAATATTACTATAACTTAGGCTTAAATATCAAAAAATAATGGCTACTTCAGTGTCATATTGTTGAAATCGAAACAAAACTGCATGGTTCAAGCATCCTAATCATTACTGCCAATGAATGATGGCGCAGGCAAGTGCCGGGTAAATGCCTAGTTCTACTTCATTCGCCTCCTGGGAAGAAAGGATAAAAGAATAGTGCCTGTGGATAATCTATGGAAATATTTAATCAAGACTCTCTTAAACACATAAGCATATCTAATGTTTTAAAGGTTACCAGTGCTGCCTTTTGATATATGGATGAACATAACTGATTAAAGATGGTAATGGTATAAAAAATGTAGAGCTTAAAAAGTTCATTGCATAAATTCTATTTTTAAGATGTTGAAATGTTAATAGCAGTTTTTTTCTTGATTTTTAACAGTGAAATAAGAAATATATCTTAATCTGCAAAGTCAGGCTATGTTTTGTAAAGGTATTTTACAGCATTTTCTGTTTAATTGTAATCTGTTATCATTAGAGATCTCAGTACCAGAACAGTTAATTTTTTGAAAAATATTGAATATCTTTATTCAAGTCAGCCATCTTGGTAAGTGCAGTTTTCACCACCACCCTCCCACCGCCCAAATGTAAATATAGGTGACCTAATTTTTCTTATAGGAAAGATACTGTTAAGAGGCATGCACTTTTCATGGGATGGTCACTTGTTTCTTGTTTCAAAGATAAATATTTGGATAGATACCCATACTTACTATGAGTCAGTCACAGTGCTGACATTATTTTAACATCATTTAAAATGGAAAGATCTGCATAGATTTTTGACATTATTCCATAAGTAACATGCAAGTAAGATATTTTTATTTTCATTTTCTTCATGTTAAATGAGCTAATTATGAAATCTATTTTTTTATGGCCTAGCATTTATGCGTGCTTTTTCCTTGTCTTCTGAAAATAGAATAAATTTGATTTTTGATACTTAAGAATTTCCTAAAGATAGCTTTTGTAACAGAGAAAGCATGTTAAATTACACATGGGTCTACATTAAAAATTTTGTTTTTATTTTGAATATTTCCAAAGCACATTTGCAGGGATAGTAAATTGCAAGGCTACTATAATAACAATAGTTTCTGGATCACCTCAGGAAACAGCATAAATAAGAATGTTTACATATCATCAACATAACTACCATAGTGTTTGAATGAATTTAAAGTAAAATAAGTTTCATCCACTTTATTTAGAAACTGGTTTACCCCAGCTTCCCCTAGTTTTTTCCAAATTTAAAATGATAAAATTTTGATTATGTGCCAATATTGTGTCATTTAATGTTTTAAAAACTTGTCAAGACCACCATTTTAGGTAGCTGAGAAGAGTGATAGTTGGTATCAATTTATTAGCCAGGCATGGTGACTCAGACGTTGGAAGGCTGATGCAGGAAGATTGCTTGAGCCCAGGACGTCAAGGTGATCATGCCACTGCACTCCTACCTGGGTGACAGAGTAACACCCTGTCTCAAAAATAAATAAATAAAAAGAAGATAGTTGGTATCAATTCAGAGTAGTTAATGTCTGTTCTCTTATTTTAAATATACCAACAGAGCTATTTTACTATATTTAATAGTTCTTAGCTTGCATGTGTGATGATTTCACTCAGTGATTTTATACAATTGCTGAAAAAAATTTTCTGAAGATTAAGCTGTGAAATGTATCAACCCTCATCTGATTTTTGTAGTACAAAATAACATCCTGATTCCTTTTAAAAATTCATGTTTGTAATTTATTTTTCTGCATGTACTGATCAAATAAGCCTAAACCAAATATGTGCAATAAAATCAAGCCTTTAGATAGTATCTAGTGCATTGTTAAAAAAGATTATTTCTAGATATTTATGTTTTTGTTTATGTAGAAATCATGAATTCAATTCTGTTTAAAAGATGACTATATTTTCAATTTTGAGTAATACATTTATACTGTTATTCTGTTATTCCTACTGTTTCTTTTTTTTTTTTTTTTTATGTTTTTGCCATGTTTCTAGAAAATAGCTGTGTAACTNTTTTTTTTGCCATGTTTCTAGAAAATAGCTGTGTAACTTATTGAGCATTATTTTGGTGTTACTGTATAAAACATGCAAAATAAATATTAAATTTTTGCAGTTCACATGATTGACAGAATGTTTTATCTATCAACACTGTATCTTAGTCCACTCAAGCTGCTATTACAAAATACCATAAACTAGGTGATATATTAACAGAAATTTATTTCTCACCATTCTGGAGGCTGGGAAGTTCAAGATCAAGGTGCCAGTAGACTTGGGGTCTGGTGAGGGCCCACTTCTGCTCATAAACACAGTGCCTTCTTGCAGTGTCCTCACCTGGCAAAAGTACAAGTCATCTCTGTGGGTCCTCTTATACAGACCATTAATGAGGGTTCCATCCTCATGACCTAATCACTTCTCAGAGGCCCTATCTCCAAATACTGTCATATTGGGGATTTGTGAATGTTGTAGAGGACATAAACCTTCAGTTCATAGCAGCTTTCTCAGCTATATTCAAAATATCCTACATATTTTAGAAATTCTCTATTTCAAAACAAAATATCTTATTAGGGGCCACTTTCACTCAGATTTCAGTATCTACTAAGGATGATCATCTTCCTGTCAGGGTTTTCTTAAAAGATCTGTTATTTAGACAGGGTAATTACTAAGACAAGTTAAGGTCTTGCACCAGCAATTAGGAAATATTTTGCCTACCCATTTGTGTCTAAACTTCTTTCAGATCCTGAAGCTCTTTGAGATTATGATGGAAGAGACTATCTTGCATTTGTTTGGTTATTTAATAAGTATTTGTTAGGCTGGGTGTGGTGGCTCATGCCTGTAATCCCAGCACTTTGTGAGGCCGAGTTGGGTGGATCACCTGGGGCCAGGAGTTCAAGACTGGCCTGGCCAACATGTCTCTACTAAAAATATAAAAATTAGCCAGGTATGGTGGCACATGCCTATAATCTCAGCTACTCGGGAGGCTGAGGCAGAAGAATCACTTGAACCCAGGAGGCACAGGTTTCAGTGAGCCGAGGTCACATCACTGCACTCTAGCCTGGGCAACAGAGTGAGACTGTCTCAAAAAAATAAGTATTTGTTGAATACCTGTTATGTGGTAGGTACTAGGGATACAGCAGTCAACCTAAGAGCTAGAAACTAAGAGGTAAGGAAATAGACATTCTAAGAATGTAAGGAAAAATTATGCTAATGGTAATAATATGGAGAAAAATCAAGCAATATGGACTCCCTATGAAGTCATGTAGAAATTAATGCACAGGGGATGAAGATACCCTAGAGATAAAAGGCATGGTGATAATAGTCCTGATAGTCCCCGAAGAGAAATCTGAGTGTTGTAGGAAGAATGAGGTTGTAATTCTGTTAATTCTTAACATCTGTATATTCCCAGAAAAAATGTTACCTCTAATTTTTATATGGTTCATGGACCCTTCTGAAGCCATTTCATACATATTTTAAATTGCACCGAAAAAGAAAATCTGAGATGTTTGCATTCCCATATGTATTAGGATAAGCTGGGTTGTGCTGCAGTACAACCCAAAATCCCAGTGACTTAACACAAAAGTTATTTCTGGCACATCCAAATTTCACTTTGTGAGTCTGCACAGTCTGCAAAGGCAACTGTTCTCCAACTGGCGATTCTGGTAATCCAAGCTGATTCAGTCTGTGGCTGTACCATTTCAGCATGAGGTCTCCCCATTGTGGCAAAAGAATAAAAGATCTTGCACCAGCAATAAAGTTATTCATCTTGGATGTGTCTCTGACAACCCATTGGCCAGCAGTAATCACATGTCCCAGCCTAATTGCAAGGAAAGATGGGTAGAAAAGAGTCTCCCATGGGCTTACAAGAAAAGAAGAAAGGAATATGTGAGTTTAACAGAGGTCTCTACCACAGTCACCCCTCTGGTCACCAAATAGTTTATTTTTCTTTGTACACATGGAACATAGTGACTCTTAAGGGCCCAAATGTCCAATCAAGGTAAAGTTTTCTCCTGCAAGACCAGGCTCTCTGGAAGTGCTATTATCAGGTTTGGCTGTTTGCTCCTACTGTTCTGTAGACCCAGGAACCAAAAGGATATGTTCTGTTTTCCACATACGTAACATACAGTGGTGGAACTGTATCCACAATAAACATTCAGAACGGGGAAGAAGAATGGGAGATACTGTTAGGATCCCTAACTCGGTATGGTGTATATTCATGATTAGGCTTCTTTTCTATCTCCTAGGAAGAATTTCCTCGTTTATTGTTCTCTGTGGCCCTAGACTCCATGCTCTGGGAAAGATTTTATTCTTTTTTTTTTAATCTTCATGGCTACATCTGAACAGCTACTGAGGAAAATATATGCCAGCTTTGGGAGTTGCACAGCTTTTTTTGAGACAATTTCTTAGATGATTGGGGTCTACAATTTCTTTTAATTTGGAATAGTCACAAGTTGTTTTAGCCAAGGTTTGTGTGTGTTTTTAATACAATTCTTAAAATTTTAGTAGGATTCTTATCTGTAAAGAGATTCATATGCCAGTAACCATACCAGAGTTTTTTGTCACAGTTGTTGGGTTTGCTATATTTCATTGCTTTCCTGTCCCCACACTTTGCGGCAAGTATTTAACAAGATTTGATAGAAGAGACATACTATACTCTTTGTTTTGAGACAGTCTTGCTCTGTCACCCAGGCTAGAGTGCAGTGGTGTGATCGACACTCACTGCAACCTCCGCCTCCTGGGTTCAAATGATTCTTCTGCCTCAACCTCCTGAGTATTCGGAATTACAGGCGCCCGCCACCACACCGGGCTAATTTTTGTATTTTTAGTAGACAGGGTTTCACCATGTTGGCCAGGCTGGTCTTGAACTCCTGACCGCAAATGATCCGTCTGCCTTGGCCTCCCAAAGTGCTGGGATTATAGGCGTGAGCCACCACATCCAGCTGGGAGAGACATACTCTTAATTACATTTTAACCCTCAGGCTTTTTCTTCCCAAGAGGAAAAAACGAAGGTTTCACATCTTTAATTAATCCATTGAAAATTTTTCCAAAATGGATAATATAGTTTACATCCCTAGTTATCCTTGTTGCAAGCCTGAGTTTTAATAATCCTTTGTCACTTAAAAGCTTTCTCAAGTTTATCTTCTGCTAGCAGTTGAAAAACCAACCCTGGGAGGCTTGAAATTTTTGGTTGCCTCTATTCCCTCTTGTTTCAGCTTTCATAAGTCAACTCTTTTTTCCTGAACCCTACTCTTTCAGGGAGGCAGATAATGTACATAATGAATTTTGAGCTAGGAGAAGAGGTTTAAAAACCAGATACCAGTGTGTGGTGGGCGCTACTGAATACAGTAGACCAGGTATTATAAAAAAGAGTTGTCAGGTGTAATTAATGAAGGTTTCTCACAAGATAAAAATTTATCTTGAGGACCACCTGGATTGGAGGAAAGGCAGATGGTTAGCTAGTGAGGACTTTATTCTAATGCTAATTCAGGAGTTTCTCGTTTCCAGTGCTAAGGAAAACTCAATTTTCATGCAAAGGATATCTATATTTTCACATCTGTATCTTTATCCATCTAGCTGTGCTCTTACTACTTTGTTTCTACGGTAATTTGCTATTTCTTTTGCACAATTACCAATTTAGAAATAATTTAGATACTTCGTGCAACCTCTGCAGTCACGCAAAAGTTTTCATGTTACTCTCTGGAAAGGCACTTCCCAAGATGTAGTTAACAAATACTGTATCTTTGGAACATTTTTGTTTTCCTTGTAACTTGTAGCTCCGAGCCAGGAAGTTGATACTTTCGATACCTGAGCGTTATTCATATAAAAACATTGTAGAATCAACCTATTCTCTTTGAGGAATTGGCATTGCATATGTCCTTTTGAGAAGCCATCTTGTAGCTGAAGGAAAGAAGCAGGACGGAAACCAGGCTTCCCCGCCACTGTTCCCTAAAGGTCACAGATAAAGTATGAAAAAACGGGACTAGTTAAGCTGAAGAGAGATGAACAAGTGTACCCGGGAGGGGGCGCGATGTGTTGAGGTTAACAAAGAGAACTACACAGCAGGGTCAACTAAGGTCTGTACTTTCGCTCTGACCCAGACTGGTCACCTTCACAAACTCCTGTTTCCCTGAGGCGGAACCCTCGGCAGCGCTATTCTCACTTGAGCGTTGGAATACTACTCTGAGGAGTTTTCAGCCGGATGTCGGACTGCCTGAAATGCCGCTTCCAGCGCACTAAGCAACTTGAACGGCACTAAGCAACTGGCCAGAGTTGGTTTGGTTTGACCCTGTCTGTAAGTGGAGTTGCGAACTCAACCCTTTCTCCAAGGCGGGAGTGTTTCTAGGAGAGAGCATACTTCCCCTTTAAGGAAGATCGCGTTGCTCAAGTAAAAAATTTGAAGGCTCCCTATGTGTAGAACACTTACGCTCTTGGCTTTCTGTCCACTATAAAGATAGAGATGAGTCGGGCATGGCGCCGGTTACATTAAAAAGTAACGTGCAGGAATGGCTCAGTTTCCTGGTGTTGACCAGAGTAGAGATGGTTTTGCCCATAACAAAAATGGCGCCGAAATATGTCAATCGGCATAATCACGTGTTCACAAACCTGGATGAGAGATGGTTTGGCTTCAGATGACGAACGGATGTTATTATTATTTACTTCCGGGTGACACAAATCGGGCGCCATCTTGTCTTGTTCCCGAGAAGTGGAAGCATCGAAAGCGTTGGAGAGGTATTACCGGAACGGTGGCGACAAGGGTGTTCCCGAACTAGAGTGGGTAAGTAATGGAGAACAATTACACGTGAGCACTTGCCGGACCATTACAACCCTCTTGGTTTCTGTGGCGAAGGTAGCATAACTTAAAATAGGCTGCGTACGCTGCTTGGCGCGACCGCTGGAACCTCATTCCCTTAAAGCGGCGCCGTCCGCCAGGCTTGGTAAATCAGAGCGGTGCTTTCGCTGAAAAAGAAATGTCCCTGTTAAAGAGAGTGCTAACGACCCCATCCTCTAAGAGAGTTTCCTCTCGGACGAGAAGGGACTAATTGTTGGGTTCCTGATCGGCCGTTAAACACTGCGCGTGCGCAGTGGGAACCCCCTTGTGGGGAGGGGGCTTGTGGGAGGGAGGAGGCGGGGTCCCCCGACCTGGAGCTTAGATCCTTTGAGGCCCCGACTACGCAGGCGCGGTTCTTTAGTTTGTATTTTTCGTCTGTTCTTAATGATGGATATTATGTCTTAATAAGCTTCACGAAGGGAACAGGTAGTATCCGATATTTCAGTTTTTTACCCTATGGTGGATAGTATCGTCATCTGAACAAATTGAGCACTAGACAAATTTGTTTGTGAGTTGTTAAATTAACATTCTAGCTTAAGTTTTTAATTCAGCATTAATCATTTACATCTTTTTACCTCGCCCTGCCCCCAGATAAAACAGAATAAATTTGGAATTCCTCATTAGGGCAAAAACAACAGAAACAAACCATAACGCTAAAGATTTTACTCGTGGGATTCTTTTTTAAAGTGGCAAAGAGATTATAGGGAAAACAAAACAGTTCTTAAAGATGCTCTTGAGAGAGTTTTTTTAAGCTTACTAATAGAATTTATTTTTTAGAACTGTTTTTTTAACATAAAAATTGAGCACATAGGATGTCCCCACTACACACGGTTTCTCTTATTAACATATATTAGTGTGGTGCATTTGTTGCAACTAAAGAACCAATAATCATGAATTATTAACTAAGGTACATAGTTTATTTCTACTTCCTCACATTTTACCTAAAGTCCTTTTTCTGTTCCAGGCTCCCAGCTAGGATCTCACATTATATTTAGTTGATGCATATTCTTAGGCTGTATGTTCTTGGTTGTGACAGTTTCTCAGGCTTTCCTTGTTTTTGATGACTGTTAGGGCTCAATTGTGCCCCTCTAAAATTCATATCTTGAAGTCCTAACCTCAGTACCCCAGAACGTGACTGTATTTGGAGAAAGGGTCTTTAAAAAGGTAAGATGAGGTCACTAGGGTGAACCTTACCACAATATAATAATAACTGGTGCCCTTGTAAGAAGAGAGTAGGACACAGAGGGAGGACCACGTGAAGACATAGGGAGAAGACAACCATCTACAAGCCAAGGAGAGATGCCTCAAAATGAAATCAACCCCATAGATCTTAGGTGATAAGCCTCCAGAACAGTGAGGAAATAAATTTCTGTTGCTTAAGCCACACGGTCTTGGGTACTTTGTTATGGCAAGCATATGAAATTAATACAGTGACCTTCACATTTTTGAGGAGTATGGGTCCAGGTATATTGTAGAGTGCCCTGCTACAGACATTTTTCTCATGATTAAAATGGTGTTACAGACTATGTTGGAGGAAGATCACAGAGATAACATGCCCTTTTCAGCACATGCTATCAAGGATATATACTATCAAGGTGATTTATCACATTGATATTGACCTTGATTATCCGTCTGGAGTAGTGTTTATTAGATTGCTCCATTGTAAAGTTACTTCTCCCACCCTTTTTTATCCTGTTCTCTTTGGAAGGAAGTCACTTTGCAGAGCCCATGCTTACTGAATGGAGAGTTGTGCACTTCCTCAGTTAGGGTGGAATATTTACATAATTATTTGGAATTCTCTGTGGGAGATTTGTCTCTTCCCTCTCATTTATTAATTTATCATATCAGTATGGGCCTGTGAATTTTTATTATATAACTTGTATTATAATCCAGTACTTTATTTTGTTGCTCAAATTGTTTCAGCTCTGGCCATTGGCAGCTCTTTTGAGTTGTCTACTGTTCTCCTTTGACATGCTCCCGTCAAATTTTTTTTTTTTTTTAGCACTTTATTACTTCCAGGCAGTACACATGCTCCAGACTCATCTTTTATGTTTCCTGTCCAGTCCTAGAATCAGCTATTTAAGGATCCCTGATTCCTTTTATTGAGTGATATTAAAGGCGTGCTTGTTGCTACTAGGGTGTCATTTTGGGCCCTCTCTCTACATATATTTTTAAATTATTGTTATTTGGGGGATATTTATAACCAACTATCCAATTCTCCAATTTTTTTTTTTTTTGAGACAGTCTCACTCTTGCCCAGGCTGTAGTACAGTGGCACAGTTTTGGCTCACTGCAACCCCCACCTCCTGGGTTCAAGTGATTCTTGTGCCTCAGCCTCCTGAGTAGCTGCGGCTACAATTGTGCGCCACCATGCCTGGCTGATTTTTGTATTTTCATTAGAGCAGAAGTTTTGCCATGTTGGCCAGGCTGGTCTCAAACTACTGGCCTCAAATGATCCAACCACCTTGGCCTCCCAAAGTGCTGGATTTACAGGCATGAGCCATGATGCTTGGCTTCCACTTTTAAAAATATGTCTTTTGAGCTACGAACTGCAAGTATTTTCAGTATATACTAAAATGTGTGTCACATAAAGTAGCAAAATTTTTGTTTTCCGTATTTCAAATGATTATAAGATTAATCTTTACCAGTGCCATTTCTACCTAACCTGAATTAAACAAATTCTTTTTTGACTTTGAGGTCAGTCATCTTGTATATAAGACTGAAATGTCAGGGGTGAAGAGGATTGTGGTATTTTCTGGCTCCTCAGCTTTGTGGTTGATGTAGAAATGTCTCATCCTATGCATCAAATGATAGATGTGTTTCTGCACCTCTTTGATTTTGTAGTTGATGCTCAAGGACTTTAAAATACCACATTTTAATTCTCGTCCATATCTGTCATAGTCTCTGAGTGACTTTTGTAAATATTAATGATTGTCATTTTGGCCAGGCTAGGTGGTTCATGCCTTGTAGTCTCAGCACTTTGGAGGCTGAGGAGAGTGGATCATTGAGGCCAGAAGTTCGAGACTACCTTAAAGAAGAGGGTAGTAAATGCCCATCTTTAAGTTATCAACATTTTCCAAATCATTTTTAAACCAACTTGTAAATGTCATTTTTAATGGTAAACGGTTATTTCATTAAACCATAGTGAAATTTTACAATATGTATCTATTGATTACTGTGTGTTGTGCTTGTGTATTCCCTCTGTTTTCCATTCTTAGATTTGTTGGTAGTGAAGATTTTATGGTGAAGATGAAGGAACAAAGAGGTAGCGTTCCTAAATCCTTGCCATAAAATTACTTATAATCTGACTCTTTAATTAAAAAATAGTTAATGAAGGCCGGGTACGGTGGCTCAAGCCTGTAATCCCAGCACTTTGGGAGGCCGAGGTGGGTGGATCACAAGGTCAAGAGATCGAGACCATCCTGGCCAACATGGTGAAACCCCGTCTCTACTAAAACTACAAAAAATTAGCTGGGCATGGTGGTGCGTGGCTGTAATCCCAGCTACTCAGGAGGTTGAGGCAGGAGAATTGCCTGAACCCGGGAGGCGGAGGTTGCGGTGAGCCGAGATCGCGCCATTGCACTCCAGCCTGGGTAACAAGAGTGAAACTCTGTCTCAAAAAAAAAAAAAAAAATAGTTAATGAAACCTCTTAAGCAAGCATTGTGCTGTGTATAAGTCCAAATTTAGTTTTCATGACCAGAGTTACCTGTTATGAGTGAGATAATAAAAATTTACTCTAATTCCTATAAGAAAATGAGACAGGACATTTGCCCAATGTCTCACAGTTGTAGAAGTTTGTATAATTTTTACTGCTTGTACTAGTCATTATGGACCATGTTCATTAGCTTCATTTGATTCTTTGTATCTTTAAAAGTCTATATTTTTCTAAAAATATACATTCATAGAATAAAAAAATTCAAATAATACAGAAAGATATAAAGATTAAAATTATCTGATCCCTATTTCCAATCCTTAGAGCTTAGCAGTTTTGAGAGGATTTTGTAATTTAGGAATTGTCTATACATAACTACATTCTTGAAAAAGCTTCAAGTGGCATCATTTTTCATGCTGTATCATGTAAATTTTTTTTGCCTAATGCAGCTTGTACAGCACTACATACCAGTATATAAAAATCTACCTTACTCATTTTAATGGCTGAATAGAGGTCTACTGTATGGTTCACTCTGATTTATTTAATTTGCCTTCAATTAAATGTCACTGAAACCAGATGTTTACTGTTATAAAATATGCTGCCAATTTTTGGATTATAGGATGAATATTCACATTCATGGTTTAGGTTTAAGCGGTGGAATTACTGTGTCAGGGATGCGTATGTACAGTTTTGTTGAGATGCCTTAATGTTAAATTGTCTTTTAAAAAGACTAACCATTTAGTGTTCCACCTCTGCCCTCATCCAGTAGTCATCCTTTATAACTAAATCATGTTTCTCAGCTCCAGACTTGAGTAAAGCACTTTAATAAATAGTCCCTAACTTCAAACTTCATTAACTTACCATCACCTTCTTCACTGTTTGTTTTTTTAAATTTGCTCTGTTTCTCACAATTTCACATCTTTTTTACTTTTTCTCAGCCTAAGTATCCCAAACATTGTGCTAATTGAATAGTAGCTTCCATTAAAACTTTGGGGAAGAAAACCTTCTGAAAACATAGCAAAAGTAGAAGTGGTTGTTTTAAACATACAGAAAAATGATTACTGGTGATAGAAATCAGACCCTTGAAAATATACAAGTTAATATCTCTTTGTGCATAGGAAAATGT